CTGCTCCTGACCGCAGGGTTGGTGCCCAGCAGCGTGGGCGCGCGTTAGGTCTTGTACTGCTGGGTTCTTGGAAAGGGAGGTGCCGAGGGCTGAGACCTCTACTGAGACAGGGTTTAGCAGGGAGCAGGATTTCTAGAGCTGTGTTACGGGTATCTCACCCTTGGCAGGTCTGACAAGCAGGGCCCGTCTCAGGAGGTAATCCTGGCCTGTTTCTGGTGCTGGGGAGGAGGGCCAGGCAGGCTGCTGGTGCCATTTGTGGTGAGCTGAAGCTGTCTTTTCTCCTCCAGCCACCCATGACATCATTGACGCGGAGGGGACCTGCAAAGCTGCCCAAATGGAGGTGTCTATTTCAAAGTGCAAGCTGTTCCAGCTGGGCTTTGAGCGCGAGGGGGTGCGAGTCAACGACCGCCACTGCCCTGGCATTGAAGGGGAGGACTTCATCTCATTCCAGATCAACAACACCAAAGGCAACTGTGGCAACGTAGTGCAGGTGAGCTGGGGCACAGGACACGTGGGGCAGGGAGTGGAGGCCAGGCTGTTTGTCTTTGTTGTCTTCTCATGATGCAAACTTGAGGGCAGAGGAGGTGAGGGAGGTCTCTTGTTGGAGCAGAAGGGCACCTGAGAAGCCTACTGGTGCCTGGGATGCACACATAGCTCTGACAAGGGCAGCTTGTGCTTGGGCAACAGGTTGCAGATGGACTTTGTAGTGTGTGGGATCACTGTCAGTGTCCTGCTCCAGAGAATGCAGGAGGAGACAGAGGAGTAGTGGGGAGGCTGGAGGGGAGAGCAGTCTGTGAACTCTGAGCTGACTCTATGTGAGAAACTTGCTGGCACAAAGGGCATTAAGGCAGTGGGACTTCATGCCAGCTGGGCAGTCCTTCTCCATGGTGGCCTGGCAACACTGGGGTTGAGGTGGGGTGTGTATCAGTGTAAGCGATGCCTGGGAGGTGTTTCACTGGGTTAGGGAAAACAGAAGCAGGTCTTGTAGAATAAGGATGCTGCCCAGCAGTTCCTAGGCCTGCTGCGTTATACCCTTTCTGGGCAGAGCTGTGGGGATCTTGGTGCCGTGTGGCTTGTTTAGGGGCCGAGGTGTTTGGTAGGAGTGAAGCCAGCCAGTCTCGAGTGATGCCCTTTGTTCCTTCCACAGTCAAACAGCACGCACATAGTGTACAAGAACACGGTGTGGATTGAGAGTGCGAACAACACAGGCAACATCATCACCCGGGACCGGACCATCAATGTGGAGTTTTCCTGCGCCTACGAGCTGGACATCAAGATCTCCCTGGATTCGGTGGTGCGGCCGATGCTCAGGTAGGAGCTGGGAAGCCTCTCCTGTTGCAGAGGCCAGAGGGCAAGGTGGCAACAGTCTGAAGCAAAGCACTGAGTTGGGGATTTGGAGCCTTTCCTCCGTCCGAGCTAGTGGGGTTTTTTTGTCATTTTTAGTGTGATTAACCTGACGGTGCCGACGCAGGAGGGGAGCTTCACGACCAAGATGGCCCTGTACAAGAACTCATCGTACAAGCACCCCTACCGGCAGGGCGAGGTGGTGCTCACCACCCGGGACGTGCTCTATGTGGGGGTCTTTGTCGTCGGGGCCGATTCCAACCACTTGATCCTGATGCTGAACAAGTGCTACGCGACCCCTTCGCGGGACAGCAATGACAAGCTGCGCTACTTCATCATCGAGGGAGGGTGAGTGACCACGAGCCAGGCAGCCCAGCACACCCTGCTCCTTTTTGTTTTGTCTGTTGGGGAGAGTACTTGAAGGGGTGGTGGTATCAGCTGGGGGTCTGGGAGGTGTTGGAGGCTGAGCTGCTGTGGGGCCTGGGCTCAGGGCCAAGTGCAGCGGAATCCCTTGAGAGGGCTCTTGGTTGTGGGACAGCCAGGGTGAGTGTTGGTGCTTCGTGCAGGTGCCAAAACATGAAGGACAACACCATTGGCATAGAGGAGAACGGGGTGTCATTGACGTGTCGCTTCCACGTCACCGTGTTCAAGTTCATCGGGGATTATGATGAAGTTCACCTTCACTGCGCTGTCTCGCTCTGTGATTCGGAGAAATACTCCTGCAAAATAGTAAGTGGGGCAATGCAAGGGATGGGTTGCGTGCTTCACAGCGTCCTGGTGAAGCTTGGTGAGCCCAGCTGACCTGTTGTCAAGAGAGGCAGCCAGAGACATAGCGCCGGGAGTGAGGCCAGGAGGGGTGCGTGTCCCTCTAGGCACCAGGAGGAGAGCCCTGCTGTGGGCAGGTCACCTTGGGGCCCGTGCTCTCTGAACTTGCTCACAGAGTCCCTTTGGGAGTCCGACTGGTTGGGGAGGTGCAGAGGGGACCTGGGCAGGGGCTAAAAGTAATGGAGATGGTGCTTATCCCTGTGTAGAACTGCCCTCAGCACACAAGGATGGCCAGTGCGTTCGCTGAGGAACCCAAGGAGCAGATTCTCTCGGTGGGACCTATTAGAAGGAAGCGTAAGTGTGTGTGACCCCAAGGCTGCAGGGGTTTGTCTGCCATCTGGGTCAAGCCCAGCGGCATGCCAGGATCTTGGGAGCGTTGCTCACGTGTCTTCCTTTGCTCTTTGTACCCAGGATCAGACTGGTGTGAGGACAACGGAGGCTGCGAGCAGATTTGCACGAGCCGGGCGGACGGACCGCTGTGCAGCTGTGTGACGGGGACGCTGCAAGGGGATGGCAAGAGCTGCAGGGGCAAGTACCAGGGAGGGGTGCAGGAGGAGTTGAGGCAAGTGTGGCGGGTAGGGCTGGGCAGTGTGGGGAAGGTGGCAGAAATACGTTGTGCATTGCAGACAGGAGGGAGTGCAGGACCGATGCAGTTTGTGGAGTGCCCCGGGTGTCAGGAGGGAGGGACGTGCCTGTTGTGTGTGTGCTGGGGCCTCAGCTCACGTGGGTCTTCTTGTTGTGTTGGCAGCCTCCAGCTCTGCGAGGGAGCACCGTGCCCAAGCGACTGTTCTGGTGGCGGCCCAGCTGTGGCTGTGCACAGCTCTGCGGGACCTGACCTTGTAGGTGTGGCTCCATCGCCCAGCCAAGTACTGTTCGCACGTCAGCCTGAGTCTTTGTAGGGTAGGAGACAGCACCCCCACAGTGGCCAAGCTGCCGCTGACCCCCGCTGCTGCATGGAGGCAAGAGAGGGGCTTGACCTGGAGAGAGACTAGATCTGGACTTGGACATGAAGGTGGCGCATGGCAGGCACAGCACCAGCGACAGCGAGGCAGAGCCATGTTTGCTGCCATCGATGTGGGACTTGGGGTTTTTTTATTTGCAGGTTTCTGGCATTGCTGTGGGATTTGGGGTTTTATTTGCACGTTTCTGATATTGATGTTTTGTTGGGTGTTGGGTTTGGGTTTTTTTTGCAGCTTTCCATCATTGACGTGGGACTTGAGGGTGGGGTTTTTTGCACCTTTGCCCCAGGGTTTCCCTTGTAGCATGCACTGTAGGTGTCCCACGCCCCTCTTGGAGGCATGGGTCGGGCCAAAGCGTGTGCCATCCCCTTGCATGGATCGCCCCAGGTCTCCATGGTCCTCAGAAGCTGCCACTGGTGTCTTGTGAGCACACGGACTCCATAGGTGTTGCAGGACAGGCTTTGGGCTGGAGTGGAGCATTGTGTTGTTGTAGCTGGATGTCCTAACACCTTCGGAAAGTGTTGCCCTCTGGAGCAGAGGTGTCACTGAGGTGTGTGGCTGAGGGCTGGGCTCGTCTCTGGGGTCTGGGAATCCTATTAGTGTTCTGTGGTGCTGACAAGCTGGTCCAGCTGTTTAGAAAGAGGGGTTTTCTGGTGGGCACAAGCGAGGCCAGTGAAGTGAGGGATGGAATTCCCTGCCATGTTTGCCTGGTATGTCATGGCAGAGTTTTTTGAGTGTGGGAGCAGGGTCTGGGGTCTGGAGCAGTGTCAGGAGTGGCCTTGGGGTCCTGGCGGATGTGGGGGTGCTGTCTGTTGGTGTCTCGTCTTGTGTTTGTACTTTGTGAAATGGCTGTGTGGGAATAAAAGGTGTTGTAATCCTTCTTAACTGGATTCCCTGCCATGTTTGCCTGGTATGTCATGGCAGAGTTTTTTGAGTGTGGGAGCAGGGTCTGGGGTCTGGAGCAGTGTCAGGAGTGGCCTTGGGGTCCTGGCGGATGTGGGGGTGCTGTCTGTTGGTGTCTCGTCTTGTGTTTGTACTTTGTGAAATGGCTGTGTGGGAATAAAAGGTGTTGTAATCCTTCTTAACTGGTTGTGGTGGTTCAAGCCAACTGGGACAAAGAACCACATGATCTCCAGCTCGCTCTTCCCCCCATCCCTGCTAGTTCACACATGCTACACTCGCATAGAATCCTGTTGGTTACAAATGACCTTTAAGACCACCAAGACCAGCTGTTATCTCATTCTGCCAGAATACACAGATAAACAGACACTCATGTCCCTGAGCACCATCTCCAGACAGCATTGAAACACACACAAGGATAGCAATTCAACCATTTAGCTGGACTGAAGGCATCTTACCTTCCCTGAGCAGCCTGTTCCAGTCTTTGACAACCCTTTCAGTGAAAAAGCTTTTCCTGATGTCAAATCTAAGCCTCCCCCAGCATAACTTGAAGCCAGCTTCTCTTCTCTCGCTTCATCTCGTCCTGTTAGCTGCAACCAACTACACTAAAAAATCCTTTGAGGCAACTATAGGGGGGGTTGTGCCCCACTTGTCATCCCCAGCTGGTGGACATGTAGGGTAGAGAGATCCACCATGTCCCCGGCACTGGATAAAGTTACAAATGCTCATTAAGGCTCAACCTGGATTTAAGGAGTTTCATTCTCGATTTCCGACACTCTGCAGGTGGATGGTTTTGACGTGCAATGACATCATAGCAATAGCTAGTGATGTGAGGGGGCATCCCTCCATCGCCAAGGGAGGAGTATGGGGGGGTTCACCCCCATAACCCCCCCCAAAAGCCATTCTCCCACCATCGGTGATATGAGGCACAAACCTCTCCCCCATTTTTCCTCCAGGCAGGAACAGCGATGCTCTTTTGATCTGAATTTTTTTCTCCTGCTTCCAGGTTTGACTTTGGACATTGAAAGAGAAGAATTTGTAAAATTTTGATTTTTCAGGAGGTAGATGAAAATTAGCCCTAAGGAGACCCCATGGAGCTCTACAGTGCTCCCAGCAGGA